CCACCTTAAAAATGTTCAAAGACTCCACCAGCTGAGGCAGAGAGTTCTCAAGTTGCACATCCTGCAGAGAGAAATATTCTCATCTCTGTCTTAAAAGGGCAACCCTTAATTTTTAAACAGTGCCTCCTAGGTTTAGATTCATTCACCAGAGTTTCCATGTACACCTTGTCCAGACCATTCATGATAATATATACTTCAATAAAATCATCCCTCACCCTTCTAAGCTCCAGTTGAAATAAAACTCCTTGACCTGGAACTGAACTGGAATAGTTATATAAATACTGTGGCAAAAAGTGGAGCTCAGAGGCTGAGAATTCTGTGGCAAATGTTGTTCATACTGTAGCAAAGGTGTTTGAGACCACACGTTCATCTAGGAAGTAGGAGGTTGACCTCTACATGATACAATATTTTCAAGGAGTTTTGAAATTTATAAAAGTACTTGGGTACAATGAGGGTAAAACTACATTCAACTGCCTTATTCCACATTATGCTTAGTAATAATAGCATATACATAATATTTAAGATTCACTAAGGGTCCCAGCTTTCTCAATGGAGCATGAGTGACTCAGCAGCTGCCATTTTGGAACAGTCTCTACTGCTACCTACCCAATTTCATGCCCAACTCTCTTGCTCATTGTTCCTTTCTCCCCATTCCTCCCTCTTTTCATCTGTCTCCCGAGTGCTTTCTCACAGCAGCAGGACAGACTAAAGGATAATGATATCTGGGTATTGTATGCAAGATATGATTTAGTGAGTATGAACATGTCAGACTATTATTTGACTAGTCTGCTTGACAGCTCACCCAATTTTGGCACAAGCCCTCAGATGTTAGTAAAGTCATTTTGGTAAGTGACTACTTTGCAATATTGACACAGTTAGGTGTGCAATTGTTGTCTCCAGTGCCTAAGACAATGCTGGGTGATCAATATGGTCTCATTCCTTTTGACTTTGTAGCAGTTGGGTACAACTATCACAGTTGCAAGGCCATTCCAGAGAGCATTTAAGAGGCAACTGCATGGCTGTTATTCTGCAATCAGATTTAGGTCAGACCAGATAAGAGTGGCAGATTTCCTTCCCTAAAGGATATTTGTGAACCAGATGAGTTTTTTTGAAACAATGGCAATAGTTTCAAGGTCAACATTATTGAGACTGGCTTTTAATTCCAGCTTTATTAATTGACTTTAAATTCCCAGATCCCATGAAAGGATTTGAACAGTGTTGCCAGAGCATTGGCCTGGCCTCCTGGAATACTAATTCAGTGACATTATCATGCTCGCACCACTTCCTCTTATCCTGAAGTTTTAATGCAGAGCATCACTTAAATCTTTCTCTGACCGGCTCCAAAGCACAGTCAGACTGATTGATAAACTACAGGCCATTGGGCAAGGGAGTCTACAGCACACAGCTGCAACCAAGGGGTTCAGTTAAATGTAATAAGGGTTTGTGGATACTAATTCTAGGTGGAAGGTGGGGTAAGGGTGAGAGGATGCTGGGGATGGAGGAAATCTGAGGGAATTGGTAAGCGAATTTGATCAGGATGGATGACCAAGGTTCAAATGATGCTCATTTTGAAGGAGGCCAAATGGTGGGAGAAATGGTGGGATGGTGGACAAGGGGACCAATAGTGGGGCTCAGGAAAACAGATTGTAATGTGCAGCAGTGGGCGCACCACTTTTAGTGAACATCTTGTTGGGCCTACAGAAATCACTCCTGTTTCTCTTGATCCACAAGCTATGTGTAAAAGCCATCACCTCACCGACTCAGCATGTCTCAGCTCCTTTCAGCTGCTGGGTTTTCCAAGGCCCGCAACTCCTTACCATCATGCGTGATAAACAAAATTACTGCTAAAATATGAACATGAGCCTCAACATAACAAATAGATGACTCTAGCAGGCAGAGTGATTACTCATCCCTTGTCCTGCCTCTGTGAAGACCGGAAATGGGGAAACACAAGGCAGGTTGAGTTCTTGTTCAGATATTTTTAATTTTAATCTTTGACCTAATCAAGTTATATTTAAGAATTCTGATTTGTCCAAATCATTTGAGTTTATGGCAGATAAGACATGCACTCAGACACTGATAATATGATCTAATTTTGTAAAACCTCAAATCGATCGAGCTAATTTTTGTCAGAATGAACTGCAATGCAGAAACGTTTAGCAATTTTTCTAGGATTCTAAATATTTCATGCATGTCACTTTCAGTGTGATTTCCAAAAGTTTAATTGGTAGGACCAGAAAGCTACATTATTACTTTAGTCACTGCAATACTTTTAGCCTAGATTTAAAACAGAGTACTTTGAATCATCATATCAGTACTTTCTACTAACCATTACAAAACCTATTTGCGAACTCAAAGGATTGAGCAGCATGTATTAACTGCATTATCTGATCTTTCTTAAAACTGTACAATTTCTCTTTTGACATTTCTGACAGCTCTTTTGGAGTTCAGAAACGTTGCGAGAAGGAAAACCATACCGCCAATTCACAGTAGTTAGCTGCCATATTTTGAAATTTAAAGATTCAGAATCATAGACGGCCACTTTGACAGCTCCTATCAAATGGCAAGTACATAAGGTAAGTGTGAGGATTTTTTAGATTCACTTGAGGGACACGGACATCACTATCTGAAACAGTAGTTATTACTTGTCCCTAATTGCCTTTGAGAAGGTAGTAGTGAACTGCATCTTGAACTACTGCAGACCATGTTCTGTAGGCGGACTCACAATGCCGTTAGGAAGGGGATTTCACGATTTTGGCCCAGCAACACTGAAGGAACAATGATGTACTTCCAAGTCAAGTCGGTGAATGGCTTGGAGGGCAACTTGCAGGTGGTGGCATCTGTATCTGCAGCCCTTGTCCATCTAGATGGAAGCAGTTGTGGGTGCTGTCTAAGGATCTTTGGTGAATTTCTGCAGTGCATCTTGTAGATGGTACACATTCTGCTACTGAGTGTTGGTGGTGGAGGGAGTGAATGCTTGTGGATGTGGTGCCAATCAAACAGACTGCTTTATCTTGGATGGTGTCAAGCTTCTTGAGTTTTGTTGGAGGTGCACTCATTCAGGCAAGTAGGAGTATTCCATCACACTTCTCACTTGATCCTTGTACATAGCGAACAGGCTTTGAGGAGTCGGGAGGTTGAGTTACTCTGTGGTATTCCTAGCCTCTGACCTTTGTAGTCACTGGTAATGTGGTCCTTGCCCCATAATGGGACTGCACTTTGTGCTGCCCTCATCTTAACATATGGGTTTTTGGCTTGGCTTCAGAAAGACTGGAAAGGCACATGTGGGAGCATATGTGAAAGATATTAATATATAGTTCAACCTGTAAGGACCGACTATCAGTTGACTTTGGATTATCGTACTATACAGATAGAAATTGGGCACATCCCTCTACGTAAGACACTCTCTTGTAGAACGACTGGTATTGCTGCATTAGGGAAAATATTGAAGGTATGATACTAAACACATAACAAAAAGTTACTTGCACATAAAATCCCATTATTTTTTCCAATTAGGTAATCTAGATATCAATGTATTACATATTCAGTTCAAAAAGTCCTTGAACAAAGAGTCCTACCAGCAGGGTTTTTGGAAAATTATCAGCTACAACTCAGTGGAGCATTCTAGATTTAAGACTCATTCCAGAAACTTGAACATATGATCTGATCTAACATCATTACATAAGTTAAGGAGCTTCTGTTGGATTGTAAGATACTCTCTCTTTCAGAGAAGACATTACATTTGCCATTTCAAGTTGATGCAAAAAATCTCACAATTCATGATGTAAAAAATATTATTTAACCATATCACAAATAAAAAGCTTATCTATGTTTCATTATTGTTTGTAAGACCTCACAGTGCACAAATTGGATGAACTATTTCCTACATTACATCTGTGACTAAAATTAATTGGCTGTAAAGCACTTTGGGAAGCCATTAGTCTGTGAAAGCCACTGCATAAATGTGAATTTACTTTATTATAATGCTTCCAGTTTGCAACAGCACTTTCAAGACATTTCTTAACTCATCGTGTTGGACTGCTAGTAACAAGCTTACAACAGCTTCCAAGAGAAATCATCCATTAGTCACAATTACATAAATATTTTTATTATCCCACAAATTACAAGTATTTAATCACAATATGATGAAATGATCATACTATAAGCACTTCAGAGACAAATTTATTTATATGACCAGCTTAATTGTTTTGTGCATTGCTAATGGTGCCATACTTAAGGAAGGATGTGAATGCATTTGAAATTGAAGAGGTTTGCAACAGTTACAGGGATAGCACATGTGAAAAGTTGGGACTATTTTCCCTGGAGAGGGCAGGTTAAGAGGTGATTTGATTGAACTTTTCAACAACATAAGAGGTCTGCATAGAGTGGAGGGGGAGAAACTGTTTCTATTCATAAAAGGATCAAAAATAAAAAGGCACAGATGTAATGAGAATTGCAAAAGAAGGAAATACGATTTGAGAAAAAACTATTTCAAACAGTGAGTGATAATGCCTGGAATGCACCACTTAGAATTGTGGTAGAATAGGTTCAATTGAAGCTTTCAAGAAGGTAGTAATTATTATTTATACAGAAATAACGCACAGAATTATGGCTCTAAGTCACAATACTCCTTCAAGTAGTTAATGCAGACACAATGGGCCAAATGGCCTCCTTCTGCCCCATGGCAATTTTATGATTAAATGCTCATCTGAAATAAAATCTCCGGGTATAGCTGCCCATCATATTACATGGCTAGTCAATTTTTACACAACAGCTCCTATTAATATTTTTCACAGTTACATTAAACACAACTTAACAACTGTCTTTAATATGCCGTTTCACTAAACTATGAAACCTAATGGCAACAGTATAAAGTCAGTAAATTGCTTTCAAGAAAGCTCAAGAATTTTTCAAAGCTTACCATTTTAACTTTGTTCTCTTTCCCAGCTTTTCAGTTGGGTTAATTTAAATATATTGGCTGAACTGCCCTTAATACTCACTTGGTTGGAATACCTCATGCTGATATTTCTCTGCTCCTTTGGGGGCACATATCGTCTAGCAGGGTCCAGATCCTTTGGGCTTATCAATTCGTCCACTATTATGGACAAGGCATAAGGAAATAATTGTCAATTAAAATTTAGCCAACATAGTATATTGTACAAACTCATCCAATCGTCATCTATTGATTTGTTACATGTTTTGAAAATGCCCAACAACTGTCAAAGAACAAAAACAGAAGTTGCTGGAAAAGCTCAGCAGGTCTGGCAGCGTCTGTGAAGAAAAATCAGATTAACGTTTCGGGTCCGGTGACCCTTCCTCGTAACTTTCTGAGGAAGGGTCACTGGACCTGAAACGTTAACTCTGATTTTTTCTTCACAGATGCTGCCAGACCTGCTGAACTTTTCCAGAACTTCTGTTTTTGATACTGATTTACAGCATTCGCAGTTCTTTTGGTTTTTAATTGTCATAGAACTACTGCAGTTAAAAGGGTGACTAACTCAAGACCAGACAACGAGCATTAACAAATTATTTGGCTAAAGCGAGCTTCATCACCAATTCTGATATCATCCTTGTGTGACATCCAAACATGCACTTGCCAATAGTTTCACAAGATGATAACCAAGAGTAGTAAGTGTGATTGATAAATTCTCATCTATTCCAGGGATCAGAGAATGTCACTTAATTGGAAAATACTATCTCCTTTGGTGAAATAAGTGAATTCAACAGGAATTAGAGTTTTGAACTCTATGCCATCTCAGCCTCTTTCTCAGTTTCATAACAGATAACGTATTTCACAGCAAAGCTATCCAGCATGTGGTGTGCAATATTTTTAATATTAAAAGAATTTTGAAAAGTTTTAAAATGCATTTAGTTACAAACTTGTCACTATGCAGCATCCCAGTTTAAGTTATTAACACTCATTTTTGGAATTATTCAAAGCATTTGATACTATTTTGAACCAACCTAAAAATAATTAATACTGAAAAATGTTGAAGGCTATCAGCAGGTCTGGAAAGATCTGTGGTGAAAAAAAGTTCACATTTCAGTTGTTAAATAAATAATGAATGATGGAAGTCATTATCAAACTGAAATGATAACTCTTCATCACTGCACAGTTGAGTATCTCCAAAACGTTCTTGTTTAGTTCAGGTTTCCAACATCTGCAGTCTTTTGCCTGAACAAAAAAAAATCTTATTTTGTCTTAAGAAGTGATACTATGTTCCTGCATCAATTTCAATTGTTTTAAAGCACACTATAAAATTGACTGGTTGCTGTATAAATTGAATGCATGCAGAAGGGTGAGATATATAAAAAAAGTCAAAGCCTGAAAGTACAGGGAAACCATTATCTGTGATGTTTACTTCAATAATTACTTAAATATTGAGGACTGAAAGTTAACTTCAACAATTTGCTGGAACAGAAATTTAGTCATTTTACACTCAAAGGCCTTGCTTTCATGCAACATATGAGCTCATAAAATGAGCCACAGCCTTGATCATTGCACTACAATCACAGATGACATAAACGTGGAATTATCTTCCTTTTGCCTCTTGGAACTTACATTGTCTTTAATATCAAACTTCCACTTTCTGCTGACATTTAAGATCAAAGCAAGAAGATTATAAGCAATGACTTCTCTTTCCTGTCCCCAGTGATCCACCTCTGTTCTTTTTCACTTTTTCACCAACTTTTTAGCCCTTGGCAACATCATTCAGAAGCATAGATTCCACGCGTATGCTGATGACCCTATTTCTATTTTTCCACAGCCTCTCTTAAACTATCTACTGCTCCTTTCATCAGAACAGATTCATACAACTTTGAGTTCTGAATCAGTTGAAAGTTCTTCCATCTAAACATTAGAAATATCAAAGCTTTTGCTTTCAGCCCCCATTTAAATCTATTCCACTATCAATGACTCACTTAGACTGAGCAACAATGTTTACAACCTCAGGAATATCTTTAGCTGAATTTTCAACTCCACATCCTTGGCATAACAAAGATCACACACTTCAACTGGAACATAATTGTCAACTTGCCTAGCCTCTCACCTCGCTGCTTCTAGATTTAGTTAGTCTGCTAGTCTGCTCAACTCTAATCCTATATTCTTTTCCAACTTCTGCTGGTTGCACCAATTCTTGTTCAATTATCATACCTGTTCTTGCCTACTTATGTTGGTTCTATATAACCCGCATCTCAAATGTGAGATTCTTATCCTTGGTGTTCAAAACTGTCGATGGCTTTAAGTAGCCCCCAACAACTGCGCCCACCCCTTTCCATATAAGACGCTGTTTGTTTAAACTTTTTAACATTTCTGCATTTCTGCAGCTCCGTTAGCAATGTTACTTTTCCTTATACTTCTGTAAATCACCTTGGGATGCTTTTTTCCACATTAAAGGAGCTGTATAAAAACAGGCTGTTGCTGCTGGTTTCTAATTTAATTTGTTGAGCTAACAGAACTATTATACTTACCAAGCAGCTTTGCAATTATGTACAGGGCCTGTCCCCATAAGAAAAGATTTCCATCATGTCCAGAATTACTAGGAAAACGCTTTAGGCTGCCAGGTGCTCTCCTTTCTGCTTCAATAAAATCAGCCGGCACATAATAATACTTTGGTACAATGGCAAAGCCTGTAGGGTTAAGAAATAGATATTGATTAAACATATGCATTATAAAATTCATTGATATCCCAAACAAAATGAAAAATAAACTTAGTTACATGCAAAATCTACAGTAGTCAAGCATTTCTTGAAAAAACCTCAGGTAATGGGCGTAGAGTTAAGTTTTAAATTATTCTTCACATTTCCTTTGTTATGTTTACTTATTCAGCTTATCTTGTTCATTCCAATCGTGCAAAGTTCAAAATTGTAGTTTTAAAATAAAGTAACACTTTGATCATTATTACAACTTATGTGCATATGTACAAATATTCATATTAGCAACAGCAGTAGGCCATTCAATCCCTTGAACTGCTCTGTTAGTCAATAAGATCAGGGCTGATTTAACGTAGCCTTAACTTCACTTTCTTGGCTGCCTCCAATAACCCTAGACTCCTTTGCCAATCAAAAAGCTTCCACATTCAGCCTTAGATATATTCATTTACTAAGCCTCCATTGCTTTCTGGGACAGAATTCTAAGTACTAATGAAATCAGGGAAGGAATTCCTCGTCACAGAATCTTAGAATCCCTGCAGTGTGGAAGCAGGTCATTCTGCCCACACAGGCCCTCTGAAGAGTATCCCACCCAGATCCACCCCTGTACTCCATCATTGTAACCCTGCATATCCCACGGCTAAGCCACCAAGCCTGCACATCCCCATGTCCACTTTGGGCAATTTAGCATGGCCAATCCAACTAACTTGCACATCTCTGGACTGTCTAAAATAGGAAACCTCTTATTTTGAATCTGTACTTCCTCGTACAACATTCTGCCATGATGGCAAAGTACAAATATCAGCCACCAAACCAAATTTTATTTTAAATAAAAGCAGAAAATGTTGGAAAAACTCAACAGGTCTGGCAGCATCCACTTAGAGTCCAAAGTATCTTCTTTAGAAATAGGCGATGACCTGGTGATATTATCACGGGGCTGTCAATCCAGAGACCAGCTAATGTTCTAGGGACCTGGGTTCAAATCCCACCAAGGCAGATGGTGGAATTTGAATTCAATTTTAAAAAATCTGGCTCTAAGAGTCTAACGATTACCATGAATCCATTGCCCATTATTGGGAAAAACCCATCTGGTTCACTAATGTCCATCAGGGAAGGAAACTGCCATCCTTACTTGGTCTGGCTTACATGTGACTTCTGATCCAGAGCAATGTGGCCGACTCTGAACTGCCCTCTGGGTAATCAGGGCTGGTGCCAGCGACACCCTCATCCCATGAATGAACAAAAAAAACTGTTTTTCTCTCCAAAGACCTGCTGAGTCTTTCCAGTATTTTCTGTTTTTATTTTGGATTTGCAGCATCCACAGTATTGTATTTTTATTTTAGAATTATTTTATATGCACTTTACTACACTGTATGTGTCTAAGCTATTGTTGTTAAATTACTTAGCTGTTTAATTAAATAATGAAGCATCAGAATTAATCAGATGCATGATTATTATGCTTACAATATACAAAGTCAATTAGAATAACATTTTCAAACTTCTAACTGAGAATAATGTCTCCAAACTATTCTTTTGCAGACACTCTTGAAATAATTACCTATGATGTTTTAACAGCAGCAAAGGAAAACACCATAGATAATTTCTTTTGAAGATGGAACTGTCATTCCATCATGGTAAAGGCAGGAACATCATGTGAGCACATGACGAAAGTACAATGTCTGTCAAAGATTATGTGCAATATTATAGAGACTAGCGGCTGTAAATGGCTGAAACACATATTAAAACTAAAACTGCTTCATCTTGTGAAGAATTGCTCCAGGACAAAAAAAAACATTGCTTCACTTCTTGTAATTGTCACTTTCATTCTTAGCCATTCCCAATGTGTGACCTTTTCTTTTTGTCATTCTAGTTATATTCTACCTCTACTCACAGCTCTGACAGAATTTCTTTTTTGTGGCTTCTGTATTCATGTGTTTCCAAATCTTCTATGTACTCATTCTGTGAGTCTTAGCTTTCTTGTAATGCTCTTCCTTGGCATGTCTCAAAATCTCTACGCTCTTTCCTTTGTGCTTTAACTTATACACTTAATTTCTTACATCTTCTGCTCCTTTTCAAAAAGTATTCAGCAAGATGGAAGCAAATAATAAAGAACTGGATTGGAGAAGAGGGCAGGTAGGAGTAGTTTTTTGACACCTGAAGGAGTATACAGTCACAGGGCTGAATTTCCCCATGTTTTCGTTAAGTGCCAATTTCGGAGGATTTCCTTCTTTAAACCCTGGTGAATTTTCTCAAAAAATTATATGTTACTCACTTTATTAGTTATGGATGCACCGTGATTACATATTCTTGCAGTCAGCAGCAGAAGTGCTCACTGGTGCTTATGTATCCCCAGCTGCGCATTTTCAAAGGTGCAAGCCATGAAGTGCTGTTAGTGTCTTGCTGTACAATTTCAACTGTATAGTTGAGACAGGCAAGATGGCACCCCTCTTCACAGACAGAGACCTGGATGTCGTGATTGTAACAAGATCAGCCAGCTGGACCTCATAGAAATTAGTTCTCTGATTGGGACTGTTAATCTGGTCCAATTGGCGAGCCCTTGCTGGCATATAAAAAGGTTGAGTGTCAGAGATACTGACACTCTGGAACCTGACTCTGAATGGGGGAGTACGAAAGTCAACAACTATTCATGTGTAAATAAAGCATGACTTGGTGACAGCATACCAGCCTCTGTGGAGTTATTTTATTGGGGTTCTGGGAGAAGGGGTAGAAGGGAGGACGACCATCCTCTTTCCCCACGTCTACCAGAGGAGAACACAACTACCAGTCTTATCTTAACTCGACTCACAGGTCAGTTCGGTAACCACAGTCCAGAGAACATGCAGCGTGAAGATTAATGACTTTCTACGCTCCACAATAAGTACTGTTATCTTACTTTCTGCTATGTCACACACTCACTCAGCTAATTTGATTAATTCACCTACCTGCCACCAAGGCTCGTCTGCCACATTCACTACTGCATATAGTATCTTCCTTCAATAGCTCTTACCAACTCCATCCCCTCAAACTACAAACCCTTCCTATCTGCTGTGCTTTTTACTCATTAATTTTGACCACCTCACTACATCGCCTGCACATGCACCAACACTAACAGCTATGCAACGCTTTTTCAACTCATTCAGTCACTTCCTTTGTCTCATAGCAGGAGAAAACTACCCACAATAGGGCTGGAAGTACCAAGATGGGTAGATGGATGGCTGATATTTATCTCCTCAGCATTTACAAGGAGGAAATCATTGAGTTTGTTGGAAAGGACGATGATTGCTCATATGACAATGCCAAGACCACCATGTTCTGGCATTTTACTGTGTTGTACGGCTCCCCTATTACTACCACCGCTAACGTATTTTTAAGATGTTCAAACTTCTATACCTATTGTGAAACTCACTCCCTTTTGTGTTTTATGAGGCACCGGCAGCATCCACACAGCCTCCAATCGCAACAGGCCAGCCCTTCTGGACATCAGCTCCTCCTGCACCTCTAAGGGAGAGCCATAGGTTCCTCAGAGGATGTAAAAGTATAGCATTCTCCTCCATCCTCTACCAGGTCAGAAACTATCATTCCTGTGGGTACTTTAGCTAGATTGGATTCGGGAACACATTCTGGTGAGCACAACACTGTGAAATCTCTGCAGTTGACCGAAGTGGTGTCCCAGTCACCAGTACTCTCAGGATTGCCAGAACCAGGCATCTGCTCAGGCCCCAAGCAGAAGAGTTCCCCATGGCGTCAGCCATTAACAATTTTGTAAAAAGGTACAGAGAGACACAAAGCAGTAGGCAGGATTGTCGGAGACACTCAATGAACTGGATCACAGGTTGGAAGAATGCATCAACGTTATCCCCTCAATACCATGCAGGCTCTGTCACATGGTCCCAGTTGCCCTGAAAGTTTATGTCCATCATGTGCCATTCAATTTCCTTTTAAAATTATTGATCATCTCAACTTCCATCACCCTATCAACAATGAGTCCTAAGCCATTATCACTTGCTCATAAAAAGGTTCTCCTCCATATTTTGCTGCATTGCTAGCTCAAAACCTTAAATGTGCAACCCAATTCTTGTACCATTGCCTTATGGAAACAGCTTTTCGTTCGCTTCCTTATTTGAGCCTGTCATAATCTCATACACTCTATCCACATTAATCACCTTTACTTCAAAACCCAGCCTCTACAAGCTTCTAAGGTAGCTCCTCCTCACAAGCCCATCCTGGAACACATGCAGAGAAGAGGAAATGGAGGCTAAATTTGGAAGAGAGGATGTGTACGTGGGTCCCTGATTGACATGATACACAAAGAAAGGGATAAAAAATTAGGATTGAGCACTTGCTGTGTCTAGCATCTGGAAAAAATAACTGCCTTCGAATAACTTGAGGCAAGGAAAGGAAAACAGTTGCACCCTGTGAACACTCTTAAGGCAAATAGTGCCTTCAATTATCAGGAAAGACCAGAACATGGGGCTTAGTGAATGCTGGCAGTTGGTGGGCAAGAGACTTTGATATTTTGTTCAAATGTAATTTTGTTTGCAGTTAGCATTAGATAACATTTAACTGATTCTACAGTTTAAATTCTAATGTTCCAGCCTTAACCAAGGTTTCAACAAGATGTCCACTGGAAGAGCTGTTGGTCTTAGTTAATTAAAGAAGCAGCTGAAACACGTTCATCTGTAACTGGGACAGCTAAGCTTCTGTATTTGGGGCAGCTAGACAATTTACCAATCAGGACTACTATTCCGGAGGTTCAGCCTAATGCACTGGGGACCATAGCATTTAATTAAATTAAATTCCATTAGTAAATCAGAAATGCAACCAAAAAATGCCAGTCTCAGGGTAGATATTTTCAAATCAACCTGCTCACAGACATTCTTATACACCTCAGAAGTAGGTGGGACTTGAATCCAGGTCTCCTTAGTCGGATGTAGGGACACTCCCACAGTGCTATAAGATTCCTCTAGTTTCAGAGTATT